CCCTTTTTCGGATATCTCTGTATCTGCCGATGGAGACGGCCAGACATGTTACTGATAATGGCATGATTTTAAAGTTTTATTTCACAAACGTATCCACAAGATAGGAGGCAATCAGCAAAAAAACCTTGGTGAAGGAAGCTCACACCAACACAGTCCCCTACTTGAACAGTAATATCCGTGAGTGAATATTCAACAATGTCAATCAAACCACCATCGCTGTAATAGTAGTTTGATCCGACGTAGTTCCAATCCAAGTAGAAATTTTGTATCCAGGGAGAAAACTTGTTTAGTATGGCCATGTCCATTGGAGATGTCACTGAGATATATGATGCAACCTTTGTGCCAATCGTGTATTTCTCACACAGCTTACTGGTATGAATTTTAATCATAGCTACATTCCTTGGAAAGATTACTTTGATGCATCGGTTGTCAGGAATGGCGTACCAGGTGGATGGACAACTACTGTCACAAACCACTATGAGAAGCAGCAGAACTATGAATTTTACCTTTGGAGAAAAAATGGATTGTATCTGTCATAATATCTGACGGGTCTAGGCTACTTTTAGTTCGGGTATTTTCCTTAGCTGTTTTCTTCCGGTATTTTCCTCTTACGGCTACTTTTACAATGCATGCGCGGGATGGGGGTGTGGGGGGAGACGGACTTTTTCTTAAAAAGCCTGTGTATTCCCGCAGTCGCCCCCACTGGAAATCATAAAGAAAACTGAATGCTACAAGCATTAATATGTCCATGCTACAAGACATCTATTAGATTCAATTTATGTTAGACTGTGTTGACAGGGTCTTATATCCTATTACTTTGTGGTCATTTCATCATTTATAATTTTATTTATATTTTTTAATTGAATCAAAATATTGGAGCTTATTTATTCGATTATCAAATACAAAATGTAGCCTATTGAATTTAACATTTCAGGTAACCTAATGTACTAGTGTATCATTACAACTTTTAGTGTACTTCTAAGTTTTAAATATCTACATAATGTGAAGTCTAAAAGTATTGACTTACGTTTTTCATGACGACGAGATAAAATATGAGTTTATAAAATTTCCTGACACTAAATAGTAAGTCGTTAGGATGTATTTAGTTGAAATATCACTGTGTTTAAACCGAGTTAGTTTTATAGTCGGCCACTACCTAATCATGCATAAAGTATTATAATATATATTTTGAGGGCGCCATTTCCGCTGCAAACGTGTTCTTCCGTTTATGGATAAATCGCTGCATTTCTTGAATATTATAGATTCACACAGACAATTTTTGTGTAAAATATATTATCGCTATTCTAAAGATCTACTCTACTTGGTAAACAAAAAAAAATCTAATAACGTTAAATTCAATTAATTCACATTTATTTCAACAACTGAACTCTGATTAAAGTTTCTTTCTCTGATAAAAGTAACTTTCAAAATTTTACAAATTACGTATCTATAAAAAAAGGCATCAAATAGTTTATACAATAAATATTTTAGATTAATACAGTTGAACCTCTCCGTCCTAATTCAATCACTTTATTTAATACTTCGTAAGCACCTAATTCTCGTACCTAATTTTACGTGAGGTTCAACTGTAGTATAATAATACCT